GTGGCTGTTCTGGGACCCCCCGCTCGTGGCAGCCGGTAGCTCGCTGCAGCCCAACATTTTTCTGCTTGGATGGCCCAGAGGCAGATGCCAGCACCTCCCTTCCCCCCGTGCTGCTGCCCCAGCCTTGACATCCCCATCCATCTGCCTCGCCAGGGCCACTTGCTCCTTCACACCCACAGCCATCGCTGTGCCACCACGAGAGCCACCCCAGGCTACATTAGCGTCACCTCGCTCGCTGACCCCAACAGGAGACAGGCATTGCTCCCTGCACATCCAAGAAGCACATTTGCTCCTGGAGAATGGTTTCTTTCTGCTTTAAATGGACCAAGCCATTAAAATCCCACCCAACTCTCCTCGGGGGAGGGCAGCGGGCAGGTTTTGCCCCTTCCATGGCTGCTGCTACCCCAAGACGATATCCCATTGTGCAGGGCCACCAGCACAGGGCTCGCTGTGCCACCTTCCCCATCCCACGCACCTCTGCCTTGCTGGAGAGCGTTTCATGGCTGCATCCACCCTCCACTTGTTCCGTGTGCCCGAGGCTGGGCCCAGGTGAGGCACCCACAGGTGGTATCTGGAAAGAGGGAAAAGCTTTGAGCACAAACACCCCTGAGCCCTCCCCGTGCTCAAACAACCAGCTCCGGCAGCACCAAGACACACAGACAAGTCTCCAGACGAGGCTGGCAGCCCGTCCTACCCCAGTGCCCAAGTCCACGCTGCCTCTGATCCATGTGGCATGACTGCTGGATTGAGGGACACCAGAGACCTTCAATGCCAGCCCTGGAGCCAAGGTTTGGAGCTTGTGAGCTACCCTCCACAGCACCCCCATCCCATGGCACCAGAACCCTCGCAAGAAGCCACTGTTGAGGGGGAGCAGCTCAGCCAGCGCTGGTCTCAGCTGCCCAAGGGTCCTGGCAGGGTCGATGCAGCAGATTGGGGCTAGCAGGAAGGGAAAGGCATGGTACCCTCAGCTCATTAACGCCTGCAGGGCCTGCTCTGCCAGCTGCATCCTCCATCGCTGGGTAATACCCCTTTGAAAGCCTCCCGTTCCCCCACTGCAATCCCAGAATTGAGGCATCCCTGTCCTCTCAGCCCCACATCAGCTTTGAAAGCAGCACGGCCTCGACCCCTGCGCAAAGCCTTCCTTCCCCTGCCCCCTCCCAGCCCAAATGCTTCTCAGTAAAACCTTTCCATGCTGCGCAGGGAGAGCAGCCGTGGAGGAGGATACGCGTGGGCAGGGAGCGAGGACATCGCGTCCGTTGGCCTTGCAGTGAAATACCAGCACTGGGCTGGGAGCAGCCTCTAGGCTGGCTTGAAAAACAGTCAGACAAAATCCCTGCCAGCTGGAACAGAGGGGAGAGCCCTCCCTGCCTGGAGCATCCTGACACCCCCAGGGAGTCTGCCCCGAATTTCAGGGCTCCTTAGCCATGGGGCAAGAATAGCTGAGCTAGGACTGCCATGCCCTGGGCACAGGATGCTCTGAGAGCAGGGCAGTATCCTGGAGCCAAAAAATGGATGGGGAAGGTATTGGGACAATGCTGGGAGATTTGACAACCAAAGAGGATACCACGGCACCCAGGCACTGCTCTTCTAGGTGAGGCACAGCCTGGGGCAATACAGGGAGACTGCTTCAGTGGTGAGGAGTGAGGGAAGCATGGACCAGGCCCAGATAGCAGAAGGAGCTGCTGGAGAAGCAGGGACCCGAGCACTCCAGCCACCAGCCTGCAAGCCAGCATCTCTCCATGATTGCACACTGACCGAGAAAGCTTCCCCACAGAAAAAAAAAAAAAAAAAAAAAAGAAAAAAAAACCACTGCAGGGTCCCCCACCAAAAAAAAAAAAAAAAAAAAAAAGGCAACAAGAAGCACTGCAGGGCAGCTGCACACGTCATTATCCAGGAGCATCTGGAGGAGACTCAACACGGGCTGCCCAGGCCAGCTGCTGCGGCAAACAAAGATCACATTGCCACTGGCATCGGCAAGAGGACACTTGGTGGCAGCTGCCTGGCCCCCAGGCCACACAGGGATGAGAACATGCCCCGTGTGCCCTGTCTGCTCCTGCTTGTGGGCAGGATGGACCCAGCACATCCACAGCACATCCCCTGCCCACTTACGGCTGAATCCTACCTCTGCGCAGCTTGGCAGATGCTCTGGAAAGCCCAGGGTTAAAATCCAACAAGTCATTTACCTTAAATAACAAAGCAGCAATAGATCTGTCCTGGCTTTTGGCAGCTTCTGGCTTTAGAGCTGAAGCATTTGTTAGATCATCAGAAACATGCTTTGCTTTCGCCCTTTAGCTTCATGGCCAACGAGAAAGACGCCCGCGCATGAAGCTGACTCCAGCAGCAGAGGCTTTGGACCAAAGCAGGAGCGAGGATGACATCTCCAGGGACATTCTGGGCTTGGGCAGCATCATCACAGACTTCCCCCAAGGGAAGACAGCTCAGATGTAGGAGCTTGGTGTTGTCCCCCCAAAATCTCCCCTCATGGCTCTGCCACCCCACAAGCCCTCTCCCAGCCCTACAGGAGATGGAGGCCAGGCTTCCCATCACAGCATCATCTGGTTTTCAGCTAATTTCTGGCCATTTCCTCCCCACTTCCTCCATCCCCGGTGCAAACCCCTCTGAGCAATGGGTTTCCCTTCTCAGAAGGGACACGAGGAGTCTGTGGGGCTGGTGTGTTTCTGTATGTGACCCTGTCCTCGGTCATGGGGACAGCCCTTGCATCCATGGGCAGGATCGGGACAAATGAATGCCACACTCCGGCTCTGGGAAAAGGGAAGATGGGAAAGCTGCAAAGCAGGAGGAGAAAATTGTCTTGGATTAAACTCCCGGGCCCTGCGTATTGCCATTTATGGCTGCACTTTCTGCTCCAAGCCTGATGCAAGACCTTGCAAGAGGGAAAGAAAGCAGACAGGAGACAGCCAGCCAGAGAGAGAAAAGCCAGGAGGAAAAGAGGAAGGAAAATGCCTTTAAAAAATGAATAAATAATAATGTTGGGCAGAGTTTAGCAAAGTAAAGCAGCTGCTATGTCGGCAGCTCCATTTCACCCCACCGCTTCTTCTCCAGAAAAGGAGCTGCTACAGCACAAGAGCAGTTTTCCTGCAATGCGTGACTGTTCTGCCAGCCCCAGGGTGCCCAGGGGAGGTGCCTCTTGTGTAGGCAGCGTTTTACAGGTCTGACTCCCCTCAAAGCATGGGGAGTGACTGCTTCCATCAGTTCCCCCAGGAACTGCGGGCAAGGATGAGCCACGGAGCAGCTGGAGCCCCACTGAAGCTCCAGGACCATCCAGCCCCTGGTGAGGGATCAGGCAGCACCAGGTCTGATTAGGAAAACACCAAGCGTGTCCCACAGCAGGGTGGGGAGTCCCAAAATAACCTCCCAGGGCTGTACCCAGCTCTGAAGGGACTGAGCAGCAGCCTGACCTCCCCAACCCACTATAGGGGACACAACATAAAGCTCAACATCACCCTGCCTCACACTGCATCCCAGCACCACCCTGTGTTCCAGCTGGGATGGAAGGGCACAACAGGTGCACAGGCTCCCCAGGGGTGTGACACACGTCCTGCATTGCTTCCCAATTTGCAGACACTGCAAGATGAGATGCATTCGTTATCAGCATAGCCTGCCTCGGGTGAGAGCCAGGTCACAGCCCAGCAGTGACGCGTCTGGCAGGAGAGCCCCGCATGCCGCTGGCAGGGGTCCGCGCTGCGGCCGCGGCTGCGACAAGGGGCAGCCCATCCTTGCATCCCTCCTGACCGCGCTGCGGGATGGCACAGCTCCGGCCCCAGCCCTGCAGCAACGCAGAGGCAGCCTGCACAGCCGCCAATTAAAGCCAGACTAATTAGACACCCTCTCCCCTCCGGCACTAGGAAGGCAGGCAGGAGGTGTTAGAGGGGGAGATGCTGACTCTTTAAATTTAAAGAGAGTCCCTGCTGGGAGCTGGGTGGTTTGTGCTGCTGCTGCTGGCTGTGTCCACGGGCACTGGGAGCCCCCGGGAAGGCACAGATGGGGGGCACAAGGGGAAGGTGCCGGAAGCTTTGCAGAAGGGACAGGTGATGTCCCCTCTGTGCCTTTGCTATGGGGTGACAGCACTGCATGCTGTCCCACTCAGGCAGGGTTTGCCTGACTCCCTGGCCAGGGCAAGCTGGGCACCTCCAAATGTGGGACCCCCCCCTTGCCAGATCACCTCCAGAGCTGTCCCCTCTCTGCACTGTCACTCACTGGACCCTGCTCAGTTTGAAGCCACAAGCTGCAGTTAACCCTTGCCGAACCAGTCGGGTTGCTGTGCCCCGCAGAGAGCCTGGCACTGCCTGCTCACCCTCTACCTCCAGGGCACCCTGCCCAGGACAGCATCCCACCACTGAAAACCCTGCCCTGTCCCTGCCATCCACCATTTCCACAACACTCGTTAGAGAATTGAAGTTTTCTGACTATTTCTTGCAAGAACAAGACTCAGAAGCCTCAGTGACTCTGCAGTTCCCACCCAACAGCTTTTCATTAGAGGATTGCTTTGACAGCACTGCCTCATGCAGTAAGAAGCTGGGGATCGGGATAATAACAGACAGCGACACACTAATTAACTTTTTTTCAGTGACTGGGAGCCAGCAGAGACAAGGGGAACCACTACCAGCAATTAATGGCTACAAAGACTCTGGGGCTCCTTTCCCTGCTCTGCCACTGCTTCATTTTATAGCCATGGGCATGATGCTGCAAGGGTCTGCTCCTCCCAGAGAGGGGAAGGGAAGCCTTGACCCACGCTGGTTTTAGCAGCTGAATTCACATTGCAGTGGCCTTGGCAGGAGATGGGAGCAGGATAGTGCTGAGCCCTGTGACTGTCCCCACTCGGGGTGCTCAGCAGATCCTGGTTTTTGGAGAAGGGAAGGGAGGAGGCAGCGGGCTGCAGAGCTCCAGCCATTAAATGCGCTGAGGCTGCTCTCCCGCGGCGAGTTCAGCCCCCAGTGCGTTGGTGGAGTGGTTAATGGCTGCAGTGAATCTGAACCAGCGCAGCACAGTACATGCTGAGCAAACAGGAGAGGAAAAAATAAATAAAATAAAGGAAAGCAAGCTCTCCAAGCATAGCCCTCTGCTTGCTGAGGTACCGAGTCAACCAAGAAGCCCTGAGCCTGCAGCTGGGAGCTCACAGCCGAGCACCCCAGCATCTGGGAGCCTCCTCTGCTGAGTCACATCAGGGGCCCGCAGCCCTCAACCGAGCCAAGCAGGGTTTGATGGGGCAGGTTTCCACCAGCAGCTGCCTGCGAAGCACTCGCTGCCCTGCCCAAGGCCAGTCCCACCCACGAGGCTTTGCCCTAAGTAGTGTTGGAGGATGCAGCAACTTGAAGGATTTTGGTTTGGATTTTGGACTTTGAGGTTTGCAGGGAGCAAAACCAGGGAACCCAGGCAGACTCTGCAGACCAGTGGTGGTTTCCTCCCTTTCACCCACAGGATTGGCCCCCAAACCAGCAGCCTGGGCACTGCTCCCTGCTCACACGTGTGCGGTGCTGCTGGAAACGCACGTCCTCCCTGCGCCGTGCCACCCTCCACCGCAGGACTGCCAGCCCTGGCCAGGCAGCCTGT